GCAATTAACAATTAATTGTGAAAATCGTAAAGAAAATAGGCAGTTTAACATTTAATATGCTAAATGTCAAGTAAAAAGTAAGACACATAAATCAAATCAGTATGTAGAAATTATTGCAAGAATTCAAGAGTTAATATTTGACAAAGAATAGGAGAGAAACAATTATCATAACAATTAATTCGTGTATTAAAAGAAATTTAGAATTTTTAAATAATTATGCAAATAATTAATTTGATGACGTATAGATACTCGTCACCTCGCCTATACGTCGTTCACATGCATTTCACATAACAAATAATTTAAGGGTTCTATTCTCTCAAGTCAAGGTTAACCACGACACTTACCTCGCTTTGCAAATTTCAATCAATTACTCAACCACGGCTTTTCCTTTTGAATTTGTCTCCAAAAGCGTCAAATCTATTCGCAAGCAATTCGATATTCAATACGGATCATAGGAATTAATTTCATATGAATTTACTAATTTTTCGGATAAAAATCCGAAATTTATTTTAATATTCGACAGTGGGACCTACGTCTCAAATTCCGAAAAAACTCGCAAAATTCGAACACCCGTTCCGCTACGAGTTCAACCATATAAAAATTATCCAATTTCGATGTCAAATGGACCTTCAAATCTTAAATTTTTATTTTTGGAAGCTTTTATAAAAATCTGATTTTTCTCCCAAAATTTCACGAATTCATGATATAAATGAGTATGGAATCATGAAATATAATCAATATATGATAAGGAACACTTACCCCAATATTTTTCCGTAAAAATCGTCCAAGAATCGCCTTACCCGACCTCAAAAATGAAAAATGGTTGAAAATGGGACGAATCCCATTTTCCAAAACTTAAGTTTTGTTTGCCCAAATTTTACCTTATGCAATCGCATACAACGCTTCGCGATCGCGAAGCACATTTTTGGCTGCCCAGCTTTTTGCACTACGCGAACGCGTAAAACACCACGCGAACGCGATGCTCTAACTCTCAGACTTACGCGATCGCGAATGACCTCACGCGTTCGTGATGAGTAAAGCGCGTGGCTCAGCTTTAGCCACCTTAACTCTACGCGAACGCGACCTTGACCACGAGTTCGCGAAGCACCACTTTGCACCCATACGCGATCGCGTCCTCAAATTCGCGAACGCGAAGAACAACTTTAGCTGGTCTCTCATATTGCCTTACGCAATCGCGAGATCTCCCCCGCAAACGCGATGAAGAAAGATTCTGTAACAAAACACTAGAAAATCTGCTATCTTCCTTAAGTCCAAAATGGCCCGTTGAGCATCCAAAACTCACCCGAGCCCTCGGGGCTCCAAATCAAATATGCACATAAGTCCTAAAATATCATACGAACTTGCTCGCGTGATCAAATCGCCAAACAACACCTAAAACTACGAATCGGACACCAAATCAAAGGAAATTTTCAAGAAAATTTTAAAACTTATATTTTCACAACCGGACGTCCGAATCACGTCAAATCAACTCCGTTTCTCACCAAATTTGATAGACAAGTCATAAATATTATTGTGGATCTGTATCGGGTTCTGAAATCACAATACGGATCCGGTGTCAACAAGATTAAACACAGGTCAATTCTTAAAAATCATTAAGCTTTCAAACTTTTAATTTTTCATCAAAATTTCATATCTCGGGCTAGGGACCTCGGAATTCGATTCCGGGCATACGCCCAAGTCCTAAATCACGGTACAGACCTACCAGAATTGTCAAAATATTGATCCAAGTCTATTTGCTCAAAATGTTTACCAAAGTCAACTTAGTTGAGTTTTAAAGCTCTATTTCACATTTTAATCCATTTTTCACACAAAACTTTCCGGAAAATTATACGGACTGCGCATACAAGTTGAGGGGTCATCACAATCATATGAAAAGTAGTAGACAAAAATATTAAACAAAATAATATGCTAATAAATATTTTTATTAACAATGCAATTATATTAAATATTGGATAATATAATTAAAAAAAATACATAACAAAAAAGTTATTCGATGACAATATAAATCTCTTTAATTTAATAGAGATTTTATTCATTAAAATTCAGATAATATTATTGACAAAAACAGAATAAAATTAAAAATAAAAAATATTTCAAGATTAATAAAATATATATCTTCTCTTATATTACAAAAATAAATTTAGCAGACAAAGATATTAAACAACGTAATATTCTAATAAATCTTTTTTTTTAACAATGCAAAAATACTAAACATTGGATAATATAATAAAGAAAAATATAGAACAAAAAAGTTATTCAATGACTATATAAGCCCCTTTAATTTAATAGCGATTTTATTATTGGGTATATCACATTGCCAAATAAGATGACAATTGATTGTGTTGGCCAAGAGTAGCAGCTGGGTTAAACCTATTAGATGTAGGCATATGGAATAGAGCAGCTATCTGCAAGCTGCTATGGAACCTATGCAAGAAGAAAGACAAAATTGTCACGACCCAAGCCGATGGGTCGCGACGGGCACCCGGTACCTTACTCAACCGAATACCAATATAATGTATCTTTTGTATCATGCTATCATGGGTAAATGAGACGGAAAGACTGTTGTAGGATAACTAGAATAAAATATGTAATACAAACTTTAGCCTATAAGACCAAAATGATTACTCGTACACTAAACGTAGGCCGACAAGGCCATACAATATTTTACGTACATGGCATATGTCTACAAGCCTCTAAGAGTAGATAAATATCATAAAGGTCGGGACAAGGCCCCGCCATACTAAACAATACACGTCCGAATCATACTGACCAAAAAAGTAACTCTGGAGCAAATGAAGCGCACCAACATCTTCCGTTGAGCTGATAGCCTACTTGGAGAACTCTCAATCTGTCTATCGGGACCTGCGGGCATGAAAGGCAGCGTCCCCAGGCAAAAGGGACGTCAGTACAAATAAAGTACCGAGTATGTAAGGCATGACAATAGTATATAAAAGACATGAAAGAAACATGGAGTAAAGAATTCAACCTGTAATTCTGAATAGCTTTGTGAATCATGAAAATTTATAATATCATGCATGTGCGTATAAATGCCATACCATGCATAGGTATATGCGTACATAACATCATCAAGCCTCTGAGGGCATCCCATCATATCATCTAAGCCAATGTGGACAAAATCATCAACGTATACCAGCTGATCAGGTGGTGGTGCGTATATAACGCCATAACCTTTTTCCATATCTCATATACATATAATATATGTGTATATAATGCCATCTAGTCATGGGTCAATGTACATGTATACATGAATAAAATGCATAAGAAGTACGTTAATAAGATTTCTCAAAATGTCTTAAGATCACTATGCCTTTGATTAATATCATGAAATAAACTTTATCAACTTGCGTATTTTTTTAAGACCCATGAACAGGTGATAGAATAATAAGACACACGGGAAATCAAGAATATAGACATCCCTAGTATTTTTATGAATAAAGTCATTTATGAAAGTTGCGTATTTGCTCGTTTCGTTTGTATCATACGGATCATGCCAAAAGGAAATGAGGGATAGCCTTAACATACCTTAACTCCGTTGAGTCCTTAATGCCTTCCAATAAATTCTTCAAACAACTCAACCAATCTACCACATCATAAGGAGATTCAAAATCAGTACTGAGTAAAGGCTAAGTCCGCAACTTAAACTAGTAGCTCGTTTACGTAAATTTAGGCAGCATCCCCCTTTAACTAGGCCCTCCTCCAATACCATATACCAACAACAATAAGAACACAACAATAACAACATGTAAGCATTATTTTCCAACCTTATCTCCATCACAATATACCAAAAAATAACCCACACACCCTAATCACTTCATACATAAAACGATAACCAAAGTAGTGTCAAACAACTTAAAAAATATAACGACGAACGACCAGCCCACCATTCCATCATTATGTGGTATTTCTCTACACTATTTGTTCTCCAAAACTCCATTAAAAGGTAGAAAAATATACAGCCAAAGGCAACACGAAACAGCCCACAAAACAGTCCACTACAAGTCAAATAACTCAAACTCACGGCTTCCGATCACCATCCTGTGAGTTCTAACTATTAGGAAATGAATTTATCAACATTCCTTGATATTTTAATATTTAAATACAGAAAATACACGTTTTCTTAACTATGAAGTACCTTCCAAAACTCAAACTACAAAGAAAAAGAGAGGCGATATAGCGATACTTACGTCGTAGGGATCGTTTTAATGTTAACGCTTCTTGATTCCGTGCTCGGGATGATAATCTTGCTTGAAGATCTTGCGAGAGCTTAAGAGTAAAGTTAGGAGTGTTATTTGGATGTGTTCTCTAGAAAAATGGAGAAAGAGACGAGATGGGATGTAAATATCCCTTTTTTTCAAAATAGTAAAAAAGGTGCTACTTGGCACCCTATGATTGGCCCTTCTTCCAACGCTTATAACATTTTATCCGGGTATCGTATGAATGAACGGTTAAGAGCGTTGGAAACTACATTCCAATACCTTAAATTTTGCATATAATATGTCCCAAAAAGGCCTCATATAGCATACGAAATTTATTTCTCAAAAAGCTCTGTTATAAGGCAAATCCTTAGTTGGTTTTTCCGCAACTTAAAATCCGATTTTTCCCAAACTTTATATTTTCTATCCAAATATCATATATAGTCATATTATGACTTTAAAATCATTTAAATCATGATTAACAAGACTCATATTCATTACGTCACCTTGAGACGCACAATGTGTAATAAGAATGTGGGTTCAATGGGTCCATATATATTATAAGTACAATTTAATGTGGGGTGCTGATCCAAAGCAAGCATCGTGGGTGATCCAGAAGATACTAAAAGAAAATAAATACTTTGAGGAAGCTGGCTACTCAAAACAAGAGGTATTGTGAATGAAACAAATTCTCAATCAAGGCCATGTACTTGAAACTTAGAGAAAAGTTTAGTAAGGTTCCATGGAGAAGGATGATATACAACAATGCTGGGCTACCTAAGTGGATATTCAATATTCCTGGCTGCACACAGAAGACTATTAACAAGATTAAGGAGATGGGGCTACTTGGAAGATACAACCTGCTCACTATGTAACACAGAGGAAGAAACTATCGATCACCTATTCTTTAAATGCTCATTCTCAACACAAGTATGGGCAGCAGTGCTGGATTGGCAGGGGATTAATAGGCAGGTGATGGTTTGGGATCATGAATTGGAGTGGGCTGAACGACACTGCAAAGGAAGAAGCTCCAAAGCTGAAATCTACAGGATGACACTAGCTGACAACATATACTATATCTGGCAAGAGAGGAATGCACGAATCTTTCAAGCAAAACAGAGAAATGTTGCAACAATCACTCGACTACTAATGCAGGAAATACATTATCGAGGGAAATTGAAGCAACGATTGAAGGGAAGGCTATTGGAGTTAAACTACTATCCTATTGTTCGTATAGATATGTAAAAGATAGTTATAGTATGTAGGAATAGCGGGAAAGGAAAGGATAGCTGAATCTGGGACTATTGCCTAGATCAGGCTATAGAGAGAACCAATATGTAAATATTACTTGGTAAATAAAATTGCTTAGTTATAAAAAAAATTAAAATTTATTAAAGCAATACGATCTAATTTATTCAAACAAACCCGATCACAATTTAATTTAATTAATATTTTTTAATATTGACCGCGCATCGCGCAGGCACGACTACTAGTGTATTATTAAGAGCCAAAGAAAAAGGCACCACATTAAGCCAAGTGACAGCGCAGAAAAAAGCCACATGGCATAAGTAGTTAATAATAAGTTATTTAGTTAATAATTAGTTATTGGTTATTACTTTTGAATTTAAATATCTATAAAATAATAAAATAAAGTTTTTTATAATAAAAAACCAAAATTAAAAAATGTCCATTCTAATTGTAGAGTAGTTTCAAGTTGGAGTTTTTAAAATTATTTTAAAATAAAAAATAAAATTAGAAAAAATAAAAAATTGCCAAATCAAATTTGGGGGGTAATTTCTTCCTAATCTATATTTTATTAAAATCACATGGCATAAGTAGTTAATAATTAGTTATTGGCTATTATTTTTGAATTTATAATAATAAAAAATCTTTCAAGAGTAATAAAATATATATCTTTTATTATATTACAAAAAAAGAGAGTAGGAGACAAAAATATTAAACAAGTAATATGCTAATAATTTCTATTAACAGTGTAAGGGTTGGTTTAGGTTAGTTAATTTCTTTGTTTTATTTATTTAAATCATTTATTGAACAAAGTAACATGCTAATAAAAATTTGTATTAACAATGCAATTATACTAAATATTGGACAATATAATAAAGAAAAATACAGAACAAAAAAGTTATTCGATAACTATATAAGTCCCTTTAATTTAATAGAGATTTTATTCATTATAATTTAGATTCAGACAATATTATTGAGAACAATAGAAAATATATTATTAAAAGCCAAAGAAAAAGGCACCACATTCAGCCAAGTGGCAACCTAAAAAAAGTCACATGGTATAAGTAGTTAATAATTATTTTATTTAGTTAATAATTAGTTATTGGTTATTATTTTTAAATTTAAATATCTATAAATAATAAAATAAAATATTTTATAATAAATAACAAAAATTAAAAAAAAAAAACTTTCCACTCAAATTGTAGAGTACTTTCAAGTTCGAGTTTTCAAATTATTTTAAAATAAAAAAATAATATTAGAAAAAATAAAAAAATTGCCAAATCAAATTTGGGGAGTAATTTCTTAATCTATATATTATTAAAACCACATGGCATAAGTAGTTAATAATTATCTATTTAATTAATAATTAGTTATTGGTTTTTTAATTTAAAATAAAAAATTATTTCAAGATTAATAAAATATATATCTTCTCTTATATATAAAAGGAAAGCGAGCAGACAAAAATATTAAACTAAGTAATATGCTAATCAAAATTTCTTTTAACAATATAAAAATACTAAACTTTTAAAGAAAAATATAGAACAAAAAATTATTAAATGACTATATAAGTCCCTTTAAATTAATAGAGTTTTATTATTGGGTATATCATATTGACAAATAAGATAACAATTAAAATTTATTAAACCAACACGATCTAATATGTTTAAACAAGTCCGATAACAATTTAATTTATTTAATATTGACCGCGCATCGCACGGGTACGAATACTAGTTCTAACTAAAAAGTTAGAAAATTTTACCTCCCAGGTAGTGGGAGTTTTTGTTTATTTTTCTTTTTATTATCTCTTCCTTGAATTCTTACTGTGACGCCGATATCAAAAGCTTAGCCTGAAGCTTGAACGAAATTTATCCTTTTTTTAGGACTCAAATCTTAAGTAATCGAGATTACACAAAATCATAACCTCGTGCAAAAAATCCTAGTAAGATGGAAGTAGAGGATCCAACCAAAGTTCTTGCCACATATTCGTGACCCTAAACGCTTACAGCTAAAGAAGCATTCAGGCTTCTGGACATAAAGTACGGGCAGATTGGATTTTGACCCGAAGTTCAGTGGAAATTGAACCCGACAGAAACATCAATGCCAGAAACATCTGCTGCAGTCTGATTATGCAGAAGTGAGCGCGAACAAAGAAAACTTGTGGCAGAATTAAACAACTATACTCCGTTCTATTAACAATTAAATGAACTTGGGCATTAATTGAGAACAGTTTATAAAGCTTAAGCCAATACGACACTTTTACAAAATTATGCTATACAACAATTCACTAAAGTTACAATAGCTAACCTGTAAAAGGTAGTTTCTCTATAGATTTATAATAAACTGGCGACAACAATTATCGTGTCCAAAACCAATGTGATATATCACATACACTGCAGCACCCTCCAGGATGCAACAGACAAGAACAAGCCACACATCAAGTGATCAGTTTTGTCAGGTAGCACCCAGTGATGAGCTAAGCACCTGAATCTGCAAGAATATATCAATGAAAACGTGGATTTAAAGTACTTGCAAAGGAAAGGATTGAACTAAATAATTGTGTAATGCTATACCTTGTTCACAAGCATATTTACTTGCTCTCTGTACATCTCCTTCATGTCAATGATATCAGCACGGAGTTCTTCCAACTATCACAAACAAGTACACGTACCGTGAATAGAAATCCAAAGAGCACTATGAGAAAAGATCAATACTTCACTGTGGACATAGATTATATTTCAAATGGACAATTGATCTATGAATAACAAAACAAGGGTACTTGACAAGTTGCATCCCCCCACAACTAATATACCTTGGACAACTGCACGTGTCAGTAAAGCTAAATACTATTGCATAGTCTTGTCAAATTCAAGTACTAAGGAATAACATATAACAGCAAGAAAATAGGATCTGATAAACCTAACTGAAGTCAAGCCCATAATCTTTCCATTGTTTAAAGAATTTTCATCTAGTGTCAATGAAAAGATAATGAAATGTTGGTTTGTACACGGAGGGGCTCAGGTGAGTCAGAGGAGGATGACAATGCATCAACAATTGGAGAACGAGAGAAAAAGCAGAGATGCAAATGTGTCTACTTAGGTTAGCAGAGAAAGGAAATTAGAGAGTATCTAGCACCTGGAGAGCGTATGCGGTGCACTTCGGAAAGGTATACGGTAACCCTAATCCTCATTATGTCGGTTTGAGTTATCATCGACGTCATCTCCCCATTATGCCTTTATATCTTCTTTGTCCTCGGTTTCCATCCCTAANAGCCACAGGAACACCACTCTTGACTTATCATCGTCGTTTGCGTCTTCCATCAGGCCCAACTGGTTCTCGTCCTGCACCTGACCCTGCTCCTGCTGCGGACCCTGCTCCTAGTACACCGATTGCACTTCGGAAAGGTATACGGACCACACTTAACCCTAATCCTCATTATGTCGGTTTGAGCTATCATCGTCTGTCATCTCCCCATTATGCTTTTATATCTTCTTTGTCCTCGGTTTCCATCCCTAAGTCTACAGGTGAAGCGTTGTCTCATCCAGGATGGCGACAGGCTATGAGTGACGAGATGTCTGCTTTACATACAAGTGGTACTTGGGAGCTTGTTCCTCTTCCCTCAGGTAAATCTACTGTTGGTTGTCGTTGGGTTTATGCAGTCAAAGTTGGTCCCGATGGCCAGATTGATCGACTTAAGGCCCGTCTTGTTGCCAAAGGATATACTCAGATATTTGGGCTCTCGATTACAGTGATACTTTCCCTCCCGTGGCTAAAGTGGCATCAGTCCGCCTTTTTCTATCCATGGTTGCGGTTCGTCATTGGCCCCTCTATCAGCTGGACATTAAGAATGTCTTTCTTCACGGTGATCTTGAGGATGAGGTTTATATGGAGCAACCACCTGGTTTTGTTGCTCAGGGGGAGTCTCGTGGCTTTGTATGTCGCTTGGTCTAAAGCAGTCTCCTCGAGCCTGGTTTGGTAAGTTCAGCACGTTTATCCAGGAGTTTGACATGACTCATAGTGAAGCTGATCACTCTGTGTTTTATCGACACTCTGCTTCAAGTCTCTGTATTTATCTGGTAGTCTATGTTGATGATATTGTTATTACTGGCAATGATCAGGATGGTATTACCAATCTGAAGCAGCATCTCTTCCAGCACTTCCAAACTAAGGATTTAGGCAGATTGAAGTACTTTCTAGGTATTGAGGTTGCTCAGTCTAGCTCAGGTATTGTTATTTCTCAAAGAAAATATGCTTTTGACATTCTTGAGGAGACAGAGATGAAAGGTTGCAGACTTGTTGACACTCTGATGGATCCGAATTCTAAACTTCTGTCAGGACAGGGGGAGCCGCTTAGCGATCCTGCAAGCTATAGGCGGCTGGTTGGTAAATTAAATTATCTCAAAGTGATTAGACCCGACATTTCTTATCATGTGAGTGTTGTAAGTCAGTTTATGAATTCTCCCTGTGATAGTCATTGGGAATTTGGGATGCAATAGTCCGCATTATTCGGTATATAAAATCTGCTCAAGGCAAAAGGTTACTGTTTGAGGATCGAGATCATGAGCAGATCGTTGGATACTCAGATGTTGGTTGGGCAGGATCACCTTCTGATAGACGTTTTACGTCCAGATATTGTGTTTTAGTATGAGGCAATTTGGTGTCTTGGAAGAACAAGAAGCAGAATGTAGTTGCTAGGTCTAGTGCAAAAACAGAATATCGAGCAATGGCTATGGCAACATGTAAGCTAGTCTGGACCAAACAATTGCTCAAGGAGTTGAAATTTGGTGAAATCAGTAGGATGGAACTTGTGTGCGATAATCAAGCTGCCCTTCATATTGCATCAAATCCGGTGTTCCATGAGAGAATTAAACACATTGAGATTGATTGTCACTTCGTCAGAGAAAAGATACTTTCAGGAGAGATAGCTACAAAGTTTGTGAGGTGGAATGATTAACTTGCAGATATTTTCACTAAATCCCTCACTGATCCTTGTATTGGTTATATATGTAACAAGCTCGGTACATATGATTTGTATGCACGGCTTGAGGGGGAGTGTTAGTTTAGAGCTATGTACATAATATAGTCTTGTCCCACATTGGAATAGGAGTAATATGTCCTTGTAGTGTATAGCTATAAATAAGGACCTCTTGTATTGTATTTATCATCCAATATCAATAACATATTTTCTCCCGTGCTTTCTCACATGCATCACATTACACTTTGCGGGATTTCAACAAATATCTGTTTTAGAGTTTCCAGTTCCTGATAGAATGATTTCCCAAATAGACATGTTGCCTTTTAATGAGTAAAATAGAAAAAAGAAAGTTCCCTTTATAAAGCCTAATTTGGGATCAGCAAGAAATATGCTTGTGGCAGGAAAAAATTCATGAACCGCAGAGAAGAAACTAGTTTGTACCTCCTCATCACGCTCACCCATCAATTCAAGAGCTGCCGAGTGTCTCCTTCTAAGTGCATCTAGCTCTGCCCGAATGCCAGGCAGCACGGAAACTTCTGAACGAAGCTTTTCACACTAAACAAATACAACAAATTTCAAACAAAGAACATTACAAAGGGAAAACTCTTAGAAGAAAAGAGAAGTTATATATCCGGAGAAAAGAGTTGACCTCTGCAGTCATTTTAACCAACTCCTCAGCCAGGGAGTCACGGATGGACTCCATAGATGCCTGGAAGAATCAATCAGTTAGTACCAGAAGGAGGTCAAATGAAAGCAAACTGGTTGCAAGGAAAAATAACCTTGCATGAAAGTAAACCACGACAGTTTCAGCTCCTATGGTTCATTGTTTTAAATAAATGCTACCACTAAATAAGGTTAATAACACAGAGCAAAAAGGCCAACAAGAACATCAAAATTATAATATAAGTGCACATGATATGCGATTAAAAGGATCAGTAAGAGAGTCCATAGTACATACAAGTCGAGACATATACGACGCAAGTTCCCCTTCCTTCTGACGAAGAGCAGCTTCGAAAGCACTTGATGTCATGCTCTTCATAAAGTATGGACTCACATTGCCCTCCAATGCATTTCTACGCTCAGATAAATTGTCAGACGAGTCCAAAGATGCTTGTAGAAAATAGCTTTCCTCCATGCTACTCAAGCTGCTAGCACTTGAAAGTCTCCGTGTCAGACTTCCTGCATCTAGGTGATTGTTAGACATCGGAAAACACAAACCTATAAAGCTCCATATTGAAAAGTAAACTTGGTATCAATACCATTTTCAATCCCAGATTTCTGCTTCATTATTGGGCTTTGATCAGGTACAAAATTAGATGAAGTACGAGTTGCCCTTTCTTGATCCAAACGAGCAGCTTTCTCCCGCTCTAACTCCTGTAAAACATTTGGGAACAATTGAATCAAACATATTTCTCATTAATAAAAATAAACACCAAGAATAACTAGCATGAAATACCAGGTTGTTTCCAGGTATTAATCCAGTCTAAATAAATTCCACCAATAAATATGTGATAAAGGTTTAGCGATCACGGATTTCAGAATAGGAGATGCATAGTGTTAAATCATGTAAGAAGTTATCACAACATGAATTGCTTCACCTGTAACTTCCAGTGCAGATTACTCTAAGTGATACCATTACAAAACTTGTGCCCTGTGCTTATATATTAAGAATTTTCGTTCTCTCGTTATTTTTATGCTTTTGAAGACGATAGAACGGCGAACAATTGTCATTACGCAAGTGGCAAAGCTCAGGTGATAGAGCATTTACTGCCACAGATTTAGATAAATGCTAAATGCCATCAACCATTTAGTAGGTCTCAGAACTTAAAAGAGAATAAACTTATCAAATGTCTAGCAGGTCAACCCATAGCTGGTACAAAAAAGAACAAGTAAACATATTCTTCGGTTGAAGCATCTTGATCATATTTATATTGTGCTGCATGTAAAACCAAAAGCATCATCGGTGCAAAAAGGCATTGACACAGCTAATTAATTGGAAAGTAAAACATAATGTGGTTACCTGCCGCAGGAGTTCCTGGTGAGTTAATACTTCTTGTAGTTCCTGCTTGTGTTTCCTTCTGACTTCTTTAATTTCTTCTTCAAGCTGATTCACACGACCTTCGTTAGTCTCAGCTTCCTCCTTTAGAGCAAGATATTCTTGCCTATTCTCCCCGGCCCTCTGTCTCTCTTTGTCAAGGGACCTTGTTAGCTGTGTCTGTTCAGCTCTTAGACAAGATATCTGCAATACCAAATTTGTAAGCAAATTCCTGGGAAGAAGCTCTATGGAAGCAGCATCATAGCAATAGGTAAAAGAACCTGAGCCTCAAGCACATTGATTCGAGACAGGGTTTGAGAAAGGCGTTCACTAATAGATCGCTCCTTCTCCTCTGCAATTGCAGCTTTTGCCTCAGCTTCCTGCAGAATAAAATTAAGAATCCCTTCGAGTTTCAACTATAAATAAAGTTTGTATATGTTTCTCTTAAAACCTGAAGACGTGAATTCAAGGTTCTCTCGACAGCAGCCCAAGCTTCAGACTTTCTGGCGTTTGTTTCCTGTAATCAAAGAAGATGCATAGAAACATAGTCATTAGAAAAGCGGTCCATATACCATGAGGTCCATGACCATTTATACGATATGAAAAATAACATCTCAGCAGCAACCTGCATGGCTTCTATCTGCCTGAGAAGAGGTCTGGTAGATTCAGGAACTTGTGTTATCAACTCCTCACATCTACGCTCACTGGCCTAAACATAGAAGAACAAATATATGTAAAGCAAACATAATTAAGCAGTAAAGCAGAAAAAATTGCAAAACAAAAAAGTACAATGCAGTTATACTTGGTATCTTTTCTGGAGATCCTCAATGTCTCTGCGCAACATATCTTCCCTAAAAACTGCCTGCAGGTGAAGAAAATATTAGGCACTGGGAATTAGATGAACAAACCCCAATAGGACACTATTCAAGAATATAAACCTGCTGCTCTGTTCTGCTTAGTGTTTGCCTTAATTCTTCAAGTGCCTGAACAAGCATGGCTTCACGGTCTTCAGCCTCTCTTAGGCGACCCTCTAGTTGAGTTCTGGCTTCATTGTTAGCCCGTGCCTCAGCTAAAGCTTCAGCTTCTCTTGCGGCATTTAGCGCATTAGTATAGTAATCTTTTTGTGTTGCAAGTTCTGCTTGATGTTTTTCTACTGTTTCATGAAGCAACTTTTCCGTTGCTGCCTTATCTCTCTTTATACTCTCTACTTTATTCTCTTCAACCTAGGAAAGGCATAAGCATGTAACTTGAAATCACAACTTCCACCATAATCCCACGCAAAGTAAAATAATAAATGTAAAGCAATCAACCCACAACTAACACTTGTTGGGTGGACGATTTTAAAAACTGTCTCGGAACAGCTCTAAAGTTCAGTTAACTCAAGAACCCAATGAGGGAACATTGAAGTAAACGTACAAAAAAAAAATCAAATTTCACTACGGGTGTTTCATTCTTCAGCCGTGGAGAGACTTTTGAATTGCGAGGTACCAAGAAACGTCCTCAAATACTCTTTAAAATGCTCAATGCACACTTGCAAGATTCTAATCAAGGGGTTAGCAAAAGGCAACTTCTAAGTCATGTGTTCCAGAAACTAAGTCATTTTCTGAAAAATATCTTCCGGAAAAATGTTTCCGGGTGTTTGGTTGGTGAGTAGAAAATATTTTCTGATTTTTTTATCAAATAGTAATAATAATGTTAGCAAATCGGATAGAGTGTTGATGAAACTTTTAAGTATAAAGATTTATAATAATGTCCAACGTGTTAGTCAAGCAGTGATATGAAGTAATAAGTTGGGATAATTGTGAAGGAAAACGACTTCCACCCATATGTAAGGCAAGACATTTTCTCTTCCACCTTCTAGTGGAAAATATTTTATCTAAAAGGTGACCTATTTTGCGGAAAACATTCTTCAAAAAATATTTTCCTTCATACCAAACATATCTTGAACACTTCCCACTTTTTTAGATGAAGTTCCGCTGCAGCTAGTATTAGTTTTAGAAAATTTTCTACCCTCCAATAATTATAATAGGCATGTTAAAACAAAAAACTCTATTTAGCTGAAAACTCAGAGAAAACATTTTGTGAAAATGAAAACAAGGAATTCAACCTTTGAACATAAAAAAGAACACATAACCACCACAATAGGAGAGAGCTGAAAGTAATCCAGGCACCTTTTGTTATTTAACAATGAAAAATTCAGACACTCTTCACAACATCTATAATGAGGTCGCTACATCAAATAAAAATGACTGACCTCAAGCTTGGTAAGTAATCCTTTCTTCTCTTCTTCAAGCTCTCTGATCTAACTTCCAAAACAAATGGAAGATTTGTTAAAACTTATAAATAAGCTTTCTGAGATGGAATAATGAGTATGCCTGATTCCACACCTGTGCCCTTAATTTTC